GTTAGGAATCTCTTCCTTGGACTCAGGACCAAATGGGTGCTGGGAGTTTAAGGTAGGAAGCCAGGTTCATCAGCATGTCATTTACTCATCTCTGTATGAACATATCCATGTATCCAACCAGTTGTTCATGCCCAACCTTGCATTATTCACTCCCAAACCTGCAGATTTCTTGCGAAGTGCAGACAGGTTAGCTACCAGAGACTCAATAAGAACAAACTGAACACTTACATGAGTCAAAAGAGCTTGGAGTTAGGGAAGGTATCCTCAAGAGCTGAGGGAGCCTAGGGATTTCTAAGCTGGGAAGAGGTGGGGTAGTGGGTAGCTGAGTGTGGAGGATAAGGCTAGCGGTGAAGGAGGCTCCAGCTGGAGTTGAAGAAAGACTTAGCTGGAACTCAGCTCGCACTCAGTTCAGAGCCTTGAAACACTCACTGGCAGGCCTACCCTTAGTCCAATGCCAGTCATGGCATTTGACTGTACTAGCCACTGACTCCTTAAGACAGGGCCAGATTAGGGAGAGCTGGGGAACATTCTAAATTCACCAATACTTGCCAGTCCATATCCCTGGCTAGAGGTCTGAGAAGAGAAGACCAGAAAGAGAAAGGAGATGAGAGGAGAGAGAGAGAGAATTTAGGGGACATGAGGGACAGAAGGGGAGGGTGCAGCTCAAGCTCCTCATGGCAGAGAGGTACCCAGGAAAGCAGACAGGAACTCCCAGCTGCCCACACTGATCAGAGAAGCCACACCCACCTCAACATTGGAAGGGATGAGGAGTGTTATTCAGCCTCAGCACTGAGATGTGGCACCCTTAAACATGGTGCCCTGAGCCTTAGCAGCCATGGCACAGTGATCCCAAGGACCTCTATGCCCTACAACACAGAAGGTTAAAAGCTTTTCTCTAAGGGAAGCTCCAAAAGCTGGGTGGAGAAAGGACAGCTGAGTGGATCCTAACATTGGCAGGCTCATTGCAAACACACCAAGGACTCCATGGGAGACTTAAGACATACACATTCATAGAAACCCTAATTTTAAAGCACCCCAAACTCAGACTCTTGTTTCCAAAGAAACTTAATAGGAAGTCTCAACATATGACAGACTATAGGGCTAGAGCCATGACATGACATGAAACCAACTAATTAACTAGGTTGCCAGGGTGCAGAGGTGTTGTAGCAGTCTGGCTTGTTACAGTGAGCAGTTTGTTGAGGGCTGGCAGGATGCTTGTGCCCCACAGTGAGGCTTCCCAGAACAAGGGTCCTAGAAGGCCTAATGGTTCTCTCTAGAAAACAGCAGGAAGAGCAGTGTGGCAAAGTCACCTGTACACATAGACAGGATTAGCCATTGCAGGGTCCACTCTTGCAATGCTACCACACTTCCTAACCTTTGCTCTTTCCTCGGATGCTTCGTTTCAAATGCTGCGTGGTATTATGGCTCAAGCAACTGTCCAGGGGCAGTTCCCCAAAATAAGACTTTATACCTTCAGTGACTCCCAGCAGATTCTAGAGAAACCCCTCAGCCACATGAGTTCTGCGCTATAGTCTACACCTAGACTGTCTCCCACTGTCTCTGCCTTGCTGACATGGCCCTCATGCTATTCTGTTCTGGTCTGAAAGGCTCTTGTTTCCTTACTGATGGAACTCAGCTGGGATTCATCACTATTACTGCCTGGAAGGCCTGGGAGATAGAATTTCTGTTCCCTACAATCACCTCCTCCCATTCTTTCCTGTCTTCTTCATCAACCCCTAGTTCCCTCTCTGGCTTTAGGCAGAGGCAGCTCTGCTCCCAGCACAGTAACAAGAACCCAAAAGCTGTATACTGATAACCCCGCTGTAGCCTTTTCCTCCCAGTAAGTCTGGGCAACCTCCTCACCTCCCTGAAGCTCTCCCCACAGCCTCTTTGGGCTTATATTCTATCTTGTAACCAAAACAGTGGTCTGAGAGGCCAGTCATGACTGAGGCCCACCCCCTACACAACTTCAGCAAGGACCAAAGTCCTCTAAGGCCTGCAGGTAAGGAGGTTCTGTCTTCCCCTAGCATTGCATTGGTCTCTTCCCAGATTTTTTTCTGTTTCTCTTCATCCTTTCCACAAGCTCCCACTAGCCCCTGCTTCTAGTCTCTCTTCAACCTCTCCACCTACTCCCTTGGCATCCCTTCAGACTTCTGACCCTGCCTTCTACTCTCTTTTATTCCACAGCCGCCCTACTTCTCTCTTTTCTCTCTTCCTGAAGGACAACTTCCTACTGTGTGCTCCTGAAGCTGCCTGAGTTCACCCTAGGTGGAGTCTGACAGCTACTGCTGCCAGTGCCCTGACATGGGCCCTTGTACCATAGCACCTACCCAGGCTTGAGTCAAAACATTGTGGCCATGGGTTGGGAATTCCCAAATGGAAGTGTGTGGACAGAGAAGGGAGCACCTCAATCACTTAGGGTGGACTCTGGTCTCCTACCACAGACAATACTTCTCTCCTTCCACCCCGGACACAAGCAAACACAAACAAAAATAAGATAAATATAAAACTATCCTAAAAAATGAAATACCCGCTGCCTGGCCCCTTCTCACTCTGCCACTCCTGTGCTGCACACAAGCACCTTGGCCTCCCTCAGTCACCAACCACGCTAATTACGCTACCTGTGTTCTAGGGTCCATGTCTTACTCCCGAGCTAGGTCAAAACCAACTGGGAGAATTATGACCTCCTAACCTTACAAAGTTGGTCTGGGAGTTAGAAACAATCAGAAGAAAACATGAATCCTATCAGCATAAGACCTTCCCATCCTCTTCTGGAAAGCAGTTTTTCTGTACAATTTGAGGTTGAAGCAGTGTGGACAGACCTAAACATTTTTTAAAATACATGCGACTTAACCAGTGAGAGCCTTGTCCTTGCCTGGGAACTGCGGAGGAGTCAGCTATACTACCCAGCATCACACATGTGCCAGCTATGTGCCTGTGTTGGGGACAGAGCTATGTGTGAGGTGGATGTGATGGGGCTTCTGAGGCTGGTTGGACAGGGAAGATGTCTGGGAGGTTTCTGAAGAACAGGTCAAAGTCAGCAGGGATCTGAATAAATCCAGAGTTCACAAACCGAGGGAAGGGTTGTAAGGCAAGAGTTAGGCATGGGAGTCACTGCCACCAAGAGGTTGGTTCTCAAAGCCAGGCAGAGTAGAGTTGAATCTGCAGAGTTTTTCCCTCAGCTTCTCTCCCTCATGCCTCTATAATAGAATTTAAGGGTGGACAATGGGTGCCTGGTAGGGTCTGATTAGAGTAAATCCACTCCAAGAGCTAGTACTGGTGAATATTTGCTGCAACTGTCTATTGTTGGGATAGAAAGGGATGGAACTTGGGGCAGACAGAGGCTTTAGCTCTTAGAGGAGAGAGTCTTAAAGGTCTGGAGATGTCTGCTACCTGGAGTGCAGCTATATCTGAGGAACCTCTGTGGTAAAACCCTGGTGCCATATTCTTGACTGAATATACTGGTGACTTGCAGTAGAGGGCAGGGAGTGTGCCAGCAAGGGCCAACACCTGCAGGTGTAAGCAGGGAAGGATGTTGGACAAAGAAGGATTGGTGGGGGTACTTGGAAAGACCAGGGAGAGCCACTCAGCCACCAGGAGGCCTTGGAGACCTGGGAAGGGCCAACTCTGAAAGTTCTAGAAGTCAGGAGTGAGGTAAAATTGAATGACAGAGAACACCTGGGCCCACTAGACTACTTAAGACAGAGATGTCCTTCTGCAGAGTTGCCTGTCCACTAATGATCCTCTTAATGGTGGCCTGTCCTTTGGGGACAAGTTCAGGACCCCTAGAGACCTGCAGAACTATAGCCCTTAGGGACCAGGCTGCCCCTTAGTCATTGTGCTAGCCTTGTACAAAGCATTGCAGAGAAACCTGGCTGCTGCTGAGCTGAAATACTAAGCTCCAAATCTATACTCCAGGGGCACGGAGATAACACAGAAAGTACACACATACTGAGATGTTGCAGCCCACGGAGAAGCAGGTGAGCTTGTTGAAAGGGCCTCCTGGGAACCTCCCTGGCCTTTCCTGGACAGTCTGTATGAAAGTCAGTACTGTCTAGTCACAGCAACAGACAGCACAGACCTTACTGAAAGTGTCTGTAAGGACAACCAAGTGCTAGATCCACAGGCTAAATAGACAGGAAGAGGAGGCAGCAAGAAGTACTGAAAGAAGAAGGTGAAGATGGAGAAGAGGAAGAAGAGGAAGAGAGCCACCTTCACCAGCAAGGTGCTCTGAGCCTGAGCCCTCTAAATGTTCTCTCTACAGCTCACCCCTGCTTTGTCCTGCTAAAGAGGCATGTTTCCTCCCAGATGGACGGAGGGCCTTTTCTGCCTCTTCTATTCCAGAACCCTAAAGGAAACTGGCAGGCTAGGATCTCTGCATCTGTTCTTGCTCTCCTCACACATGCGTCTAGTAAATCCTACCGAGACCACATCCTCACCACCTCCAGAAAGATACTAAAGCTTTGATCCCCCTAAAATTTTTAAGAGGTCTGACCTTCCTCTCTCCTTGCCAGGAACGTCTTCAACCCGGCTTCCCAGATTCACTGAGTCAGCTGGGAGAGGAGCACCATCCTCCTCTCCAGATAAGGGGTCATGAGTTTCCCTGGATTTAATCAAATTATTTATTGAAACCCTGTCTCAACAACAAAGCTTGCTTATTTATTTATTTATTTATTTACTGTCTGAAATAAGGCTTCATGCCGGTGCCACTTACCCTCAGTGCAACCCCAAGGTACCCAGCAGGGCAGCTAACTAGAGAAGGATTTGGGCAGAACAGTCGCTATCAGCCCGCTACTGTGGGCAACACCTGCCCTGTAGGACCAGAGTATGATGCCTTCGGGTGTGCTTCTCCAACCAACACCGGCACCAACTCTCCCTGGATGTGCCCCTTCCTCAGAAAGGAATAAATTCTAGGACAAAGACAGGTAGTACATACTCTAAGGGCATGACTAAGACTCAGTCATGGGATACCGTGATCCATAAAACCCGGGGCCGCTTACCGATTTTGGCCAAACTGGCCACGAGGATCCAAAGCGCGATAATGTATGGATCCTGGACGTGGTGCCATTTGAAGGTGACCACCTGGAAGCTCTCATCTGCGCTGGGTTCCCCCTCAGAGGCCGTCGCCCCTCGCAGGCTGGTCAGTGTCAGCGCCAGTGCCAGCAGCGGCTTCCAGCCTGGTCCCAGAGCCGGATGCCACATTGCGGCTGCTCAGCTTTGGGAGCCAACACGCATACCGTGGTGAGTCCCTGCGTTCTCTGTCCCAGCGCTCAGTGCGATCCGGGAGCTGGCAACAGTCAGGTCCCCCGACAGCCGGGGTGGCCTTTAATCCCGCTACCCTCCTCCCGCGCCAGGGCGGGGCTTTCCCGCCCCCGCTGCGCACACGTGAACGCAAACAGTTCAGCCTTAGAGGCACTCACGCCGGCCCTGCTCACACCCACCTAGTCGCTTGGGCCCCTGCCTGGAAATCTGGGCTCTCAGGGTGCTGCGTACTCCTGAGCTAGCAGCCGGACCTGTGGATTTCGAGATCCTCGAGGTCGCTTGCCCCCAAGGTCGAGCAGCACCCAGCCCACTGACAACTGCTTCCCTCCCCGGAGGAGCGCAGCGTGAGGCCAGACAGGTCACTGCGGACTCTACCTGATAAATGGGACCTGCTTCTCCTACCTTGACCCCCTCAGCAGCTGGATGATTTCTCTGGTTTCGCGGTTCGCTACACCCTGTTATATACACACAGCGATGCCACTCTTTCTTCATTGAGAACCTGGAGTCCTTAGGTAGCACATCATGCCATCTAAGTAAACTTGAGGCAGTATAGAAAGACAGAGAAAATGAAGGAGACACGGGGCAGAAAAGGGATTTCTCATTCCAGAGTATCCTCAAGCTTCTGACCAAGTGAAAGTTAAGAATTCCATCACAATTTAAAATTGCTGTGAACTTTGTATACCCAGAGACAATATTCCTTTTATATGGAGATATTTAAGAAAATAATGTTAAAATGGCAGTGAATCGTGTGTAATGCCTAACTAAACATATATGACTTTAATCCCGTTCCCTGATATAAACTTGCAGTTTTCTGGGAATCTCACAATACAATTATAGACTTTGTTTACAGATAGAAAAAAATAGAAGAAGAAGTTGTCATAATCAGTGTGGTACTGCATGGCTGTAACATCAGCATTCGGGAGACGGAAGAAGTAATTCAAAGCATGCCTTGACTGTATAGCAAATTTAAGGCCAGTTTGGGATACATGAGAACTTGACTCAAATAAACACAACAAATAGCTGTGTTTTAACCCCCTTTGCACAATCCTTGAGATCCATGGTTTTAACTTTTTCAACTGTAACCCTACTTAGAGCACATTAGAACCCTCCCTACAATCTAATTTAGGAAAAAAAATTCTTAGCAACCCTTCAAGATATAACTTCAGAGCTCACCACCAAAATTTTATACATGGCTACTGTAAAGCACTCTCAAAGTGCTCCTGAGAAGTCCATGCCTGTATGCAATACACTGCCATTTATACATAGACTGTCCTTGTCTCTAAAATCCTCTTTCTGTGAACCCCTATGCCAAATCTGTTACAATCTTTTATAAACTCTTATTTTGCTTCACACTAACTTTCTCTAAAATTCTTTCTGTGTCACAGTCAAGAAGTCCAACTTCACCTGAGTTGAGTTCTCAGGCTACAGATACTGCGCCTCCAACCCTTGTCGCCAACCTATTTACACTCTGTAACACCATCCAGAACTTATCAACATTTAAATCCTGTGTGTTGTGGCCTGGGAGTCTGCCCCCTCCATGACAGCAGTCCTTACTGTGGCCTGTGACCACAGGGCACACTCCCGTCTTCCCCTAGGTCCTTTCTGCTCACGGGTATCAGAATCCCTCCTCGATAAAGGTTGCAATCTAGGTATTCACTTATGTATCCTAGCTCCCCATGAGAGCTGACTTTCCAAATCCGTTCTGCCCTCCAAAGCCTACCCTTCCAGCACAGTCCCTGGCAGTTCCTTTTCCAATCACACTCAAGCCTTGGAAGCCCTTGGCTAGACATCCTTCAGAGTCTCCAGAGGTTCTTTAGGACCTGCTGTTGGAATACCTAATCCAGAGGATAGGTCCAGCTCTCCCTGGATTCAATCTATCCTCAGACCATCGTACTTTGCTGATGGCCCCTCCCCTACTGCCCAGGTAGGCAATACCCTTCTCTCAGGCTCTAGACGTCCCTCCGCGTGCTCACTACCTGGGCTCCCTGTGGTCTTGCTCTAGTGTTTAGTGTTTTGATACTGGACTCCTGACTCCCTGCCAGCTCTGCTCCTCAGCTTAGCTCAGTCATCAGTTGCTGGACCTTATATCTATGGGCTGTCTGTCCTCCCTGAGAAATGTCTACTTCATAAGTGAAGGGCTGCAGCAGTGGTATGGCTGATTCCCAGGACTTGGAATAGCATCTGGTCTACAGGAGCATGTATGGAATACTGAGTGAGTGAGTGGGAGAATGAGTAGACAAGGGATTGGTGTTTGGACCCAGGAGAGGCAGGTCTACCTTTTAGCATCTAAGCACACAGGTCAGGGCTTCCAGAAGGGAAGTACTGGGCTGAGTGACTTTAGCTTTCTGTCTCCATGTGTAATGCTGATGGGTGTTGGCTTGCATGACATGATGGAAAGGTTGAGTGGTAGGTGATGAGTGTTGGGGCAGAGGCTGGTTAGTTGGACTGGACCAATCACAGGGCCCGGAAGAGAACGGGACATCACAACTTTGTAATTGGCCACCAGGTTTGTAATCTTGGTGCTTATTTGGGAATCTTGTATGGTGAGTTTCTGGAACTGCACCCAGTTCATATGGGCAAACTGAACCTGCTGTTCCCAGTCACATTCCCAGTCTCCTGTGCCAGAGGAAAGCTAGAAGTTCAGATGTTCCTGGATAAAGCCTAAGGTGGAGCATGCTTTCTGGATGCTGTCCTTGTTACATGAGAAACCCAGATCCCATGACAATAGTGTGTCCATGACGTCCAATTACCCTCCAAGGATTTTTTTCTATACCTGCCTACCCTGTTAGCCTGCAGCCAAAAGTCCACACAATTCAAACAGAAAACTGAATGGCATTACAATGCACATAAGAGAACTCAAGATGAACACTGGTTCCATCCCTGACAATGGTGTGATGTACCACTTGAAAGAGGAAAGGGCATCCACTGGAGGGAGAGAAAACAAGGAGACCCTGCAATGTCACAGATAAAAGCAAGGTACCCTCATAACCCACTACTCAGGTGAGCTTGGCTATATGGCAGGGCTTGGGGGCACTTAGGAATGAATGTACATCTGCCTCAGGCTTGTTAGAAGGCTCCAGCAATGAGTGTTCCCACACTCTGGTGACTGAGAAGAGTGAGGCAGTGGTCATGGACAGCAGCCATGGCAAAAACTGTCATGATAGACATATGATCATCATCGGTAGACTGAGGTCAGGGTTTAGGCAGCTCTCGCGGCCTGCTTTTCTTCTGCAAGGTTGTGGTTTTAGAAAGCCTAAGCCATCCCACAAGTACCCACATTTGGAAAACTATATAAACAGTGACACCTGGGGCCATTTAATAGCTGCTGATCACTTCCTCCCTCAGATGGGCATGTGTAGCCTTCCTGAGGCCTAGACCTTCTGGAACTCTTAGGCCTTTTCCTCTACAGCCCTACAGGACCCATGATTAAACTGGGGCTCAAAGATATTGAAAAGCAGTCCAGGAAGGGCTAACAAACCCACAAGTACCTCAAAATTAAGGAAATAAAAGTGGCCATCATCTCGTTTGACTTAACTTCTGATTATGAAGTTCATTTACATGGTTTGTGAAAACTTGTGCATAATTGCAAATCTTCTTGTTTGTTGACAATACATGAAAGACAAAACATTACTTTTCAGTCTAAATTTAAGAGGTTTGAGAACCTTTTATACACTGCCTACAGGAGTAGAAGAAGCTTAGAGGAAGAAGGTTCATTATAGAGCTGACCTGGCCTGTATTGAAGGTGCTCTGGGTGCCAAGGACTTAGAGTTAGAAGAGGTCCACCTGGCAGCTCTTCCAGGAACCAAAACCCAAATCACCAAATAACCCAAAGTTATTGTTATCTTTTATTGATTGATTGATTGATTGATTGATTTTGGTTGCTAGTATACAATTGCAACTTGCATTTCTTATAAACAAATGAGCAACATGCTTTTGGGTCTGCCTATTAGTGTGTTTGACACTTCCTGCTCAAGACTGGGTCTTTTGTTCAGTCTGGAACTTGCAGGAGAGTCACTCTGAACAGTTGGCCTGGAATGGTCAGGCTGCTGTCACGGGGGCCTATGCTGTGGCTCTGGATCCTTGGAAACTTTGGAGCCGATCATGCTAGCCACATCGGAGGCTAACCCAGCAGCAGAGCCACCACAGAGCAATAGGGTGATTGTTGTTTGCCAGTCCCATAGGGTTCTTGATGCAGGGAACTGAGGGTAGAGGCTGCTTTAGCTCTACTGCATTGCATTCCTAAGTAAGGTTTAGAGACCGTGGGCTGCCAGGGTCTCAGCATCACTGCTTCCACAGCTCCTAGCCCTACACCGCTCTACCTGTCTCCTGTTGTCATCCACTGACTCCCACTCCATGAGGCCGAATGTTTCCTAAGAAGTTGCCTAGTTCTTGATCATCTCTAGGGTGTTTTCAGCTCTCTTCCTTGCTAGATCTGATTCCCATAGTCTGGGCCACATTTAGTGCCCCAGCACAAGGGCCATCATCCTGTATCCCTCTTTTTTACTGCCTCTGGGGTAGGTCCCCACCTGTCTTGTCTGCTATTAGGAGAGAGCCTCACAGATCTTGCACAAGCCCTGTAGTGCAAACAAGACTCTGAGAGCCTTAAAGAAAAGGATCACCTGGGCCTGGGACCCATTCCCAACCTGACCTCAAGTGACAGGGTGCCCAATTGTCCCCAGGCTAACCATTGTGGCAAAGAACAAGGCTTAAAATATTCTGCAGACTGAACTGGGACACAAAGTCACCAAATTGTATTCAGCAGATGAAAAATTCAACAAGCTGTGGCCAAGCTAGGCAGGCAGGCAGGACAACTTGCAAACTGAAAAAAAAAAATTCTCTAACCTGACAACTGAAAGATGAACGGGTGACTCCAAGCATCAGAGGAAGTTTGAGAATGTGGGATATAGTAGGTACCTCCAGCCCTCTATGCGTCCTGGCGTCTCAGCTGAATCTCCTGTTCTGAAAACTGTGCTTTGAGAAGAAGAAAGGGAATATACCAAATTCCAAAGAACTCACAGG